TGCCCTCTGCCACCCGGGAGCAGGCCTAAGCCAGCAGGTCGTTATCTCCCGAGGGGTCCCAGGCTGCGAGAGGGAACAGGCCTGGCTGACAGACCCCTCCCCGTCCCCCGAGTGCACAAATTTTTGTGCACCGGGCCTCTAGTCCTATATAATAAAAGCCTAATATGCAAATCGACTGAACAGCAGAACAACCAATGGAACAACTGGTCACTATGATGCCCACTGACCACGAGGGGGCAGATGCTCAATGCAGGAGCTGCCCCAATCCTGCAGGCTCCAGGCCAGCCAAGGCAGGTGCCAGCAGAGTCCCCCCCTCCCCCCATCACCCCACCTATCATCCAACAGATCGGCCCTGATCGCCACCCAGACCTAGGGACCCTACCCATGCATGAATTTCATGCACCGGGCCTCTAGTAGTTTATAATTTGGAAAATGTTGTTTGATTTTGTTTTCTCCTGAAGCTTAATTTAGACAAAAGTTACTTTGGGGAGAGAAGAGTCAAAGAATAACTAAAAGAGAGATTAAGAAATGTAAGGATATGCCGAAACCGGTTTGGTTCAGTGGATAGAGCGTCAGCCTGCAGACTGAAAGGTCCTGGGTTCGATTCTGGTCAAGGGCATGTACCTGGGTTGCGGGCATATCCCCAGTAGGGGGTGTGCAGGAGGCAGCTGATCGATGTTTCTCTCTCATCGATGTTTCTGACTCTCTATCTCTCTCTCTTCCTCTCTGTAAAAAATCAATAAAATATATTAAAAAAAAAAGAAATGTAAGGATATTTAGTCAGGTTTTCATTACTTTAGTCTTTTAAAAGAACACTTCAAGTAAGTTGAATTTGACACTCAATAAAGACAGAAAACCCATAATTTCAATTCATTTTGTTTTTTTACCCTTATTGATGAATAATGACTTTTGTATAATTAACTGGTTTAGTAAACTAATATAATTATGGTATATAATCATAAAACAGTAATAAACTCTCTCTATCCTAACCCCCATTTCTTTCTGGATCATAAATTTGGTACTAACAACAAACAGACTATAGTCATTAATACTTATCCAAATAACTGCATCTGTTCAGTTTAAAGGAGGCAAAATTAGCATATATTCAGAAATAGTTAAATAAGTTAAATTTGAGGATATGTATTGTTGTTAACTGAAAAAATATTAAGTAAAAACCAATCTATGAAAGCATGAAAGTTAGCTGAAGTTTTCTTTGTACCTGCTAGTAAGATGAAAAGCCTTATTCTGTCTATGCATTTTTAAAAAAATAAATTTTATTGATTTTTTACAGAGAGGAGGGGAGAGGGATAGAGAGTTAGAAACATCGATGAGAGAGAAACATCGATCAGCTGCCTCTTGCACGCCCCCTACCGGGGATGTGCCGGCAACCAAGGTACATGCCCTTGACCAGAATCGAACCTGGGACCCTTGAGTCCGAAGGCCGATGCTCTATCCACTGAGCCAAACCAGTTAGGGATGTCTATGCATTTTGATCAATCACCCAGACGCCTGGTTTACATAAAGCCGAAGTTTAAAACATTGAAAAGCTTTCAAGTATTTGTTCATACATTTGCTTTGGAGCAGCATAATCAAACCCCTTTCAGGTAGTTTGAACACCTAGAGAGTCGCCCACCCTGAAGACTTCACATCTCTGTTGTAGGTCTTAATTAGTGATCTCATTAAAACCCCAATGAGTCAGGATCAGACCACCTGAGCCCTTCTGCAAAAGTATATGAAAGGAAAGGACAGATGGAAGTGGGTCACAAAAGCTACTGAGAAAAGGTACTATGTTTCCACAATTGGGCTTATTTTTTCCAGGAGGGAGACTTGTAGAGACTGGTTCAAATACAAACATGGGGGGTATACAGCTTGTAAGAAAGTCTTTTAGTGATCTGGTAGCTCCGTCTCCCACCAACTAACTTCATGTTGGAAAAGAAATGCTCTGGGTTTGACAGTTATATACGCCAGTTTCAGGTTTCAATCCAGGCAAGTATAGTGAAACTGACCTGGAGAGGTGCTATTCAACTTCATATTATACTAACTTATTTACTTGTCATTTCCCACAAACTTTGGAGCAGTGGTTCTCAACCTTCTGGCCCTTTAAATACAGTTCCTCATGTTGTGACCCAACCATAAAATTATTTTCGTTGCTACTTCATAACTGTAATGTTGCTACTGTTATGAACTGTAATGTAAATATCGGATATGCGGGATGGTCTTAGGCGACCCCTGTGAAAGGGTCGTTCGACTGCCAAACGGATCGCGACCCACAGGTTAAGAACCGCTGCTTTGGAGGCTTTCTGCTTTCAAGCCCCAAACATAAAGTAAGTATGGGGGGGGGGGGGAATGTTTCAATTCAAGTTTATTCCAACCACTGACACATCCAGAGGCAATCTGAGGTCTGCATATTTATTATTTTTGTTATCTAATACTTTAAGTGCCTTATTAAGAGAGCCAGCGCTGCCACCATGGAGGGCCAGTTAAAATCTCTTCCCTGCTACTCAGCTGCTGGGCATTTCCAGCTGCCCAGTTGAGAGACAGGAAGAGATGGGGAGAGGAGAAAATACAAGCACTCAGTTCTAAAGAGTGGTCCTTGGAATAAGTACACAGACAAGTCAGAGCCTATTAACTTTCAAAGTGACCACTGAAGCAAGATAGCAAGTGACCATAACAGTAAAAGCAGGCCTTCTAACATACAGAAACCACCCTCTATGTGAGAGCCAGATCCCCTGAACAACTCAAAAAACTAAGACGCTGCAGTGAAGGTCACAGAAACAAATAAAAGCAAAACAAGTAAGCAAATACACTTGATTGAGAAGTTGGAATTTTCTGATGTGCAGCTTCAGCATTCACTTTGAGATACAGCCTATCACTAAATAGAACTGATGCAAAACAGTGGTAAACTGAGCTTGATGGCACAAGCCAGCATCAGTGTTACCAGTTTATACTCAAGAAAGGACATTCCATTAAAAAAAAAAACAATAGTTTTAAGCAAATTTAGAAGCAGGCAAGTATATCTCCTGTATGCTAATGCTATTTTGTACCCAGGAAGTGAAACTTGGCTGTAGCTGAAAATGTAATTTTAGAGCTCTAGATGTTAAATAATGGCTTATATAAAAGTACAAGGGGATGGTTACAAATATTATTTCTGACTTACTAGCGGTTTTGGGAAAAGATTATTTCAGAACTACAGACTTTCTTATAGGTAGCAAAGTAATTGCAGATAACTGTAGAAGTCACATTTAGGACACAAAGTTAGTGTCTAGTATAAATTTTCCCACCTTCTAGAAGACCTTTTAGTTCTTGATGTAACCTATGAAGCATGAGTTATTCTGAGAACATATCTCATTATATCACATGGGAAACTTTGTCAATACCTGAAATTCTAATAAAAGGCAAACCCTCTGATGGTGGGGGCTGGGAGTGTTGGGGAGGATTGAGCAAAAAAGAAAAAAAAGAGAGAGCTCAGGGACATGGACATGAATGTGGTGATTGCAGTGGGTAGGTGGGTGGGAGAGGGGATAGAGGTGATAAATGGTGATGGGAAAAATAAAATAAAATACATATTTAAAAAGCAAAATTAAATTTAGACACTGGAATTAGAAAATTAAACTTCAGCTAAGAAAGTCCCTGAACATTGCATGCCTTTCTGCTTCCCCGTGATACTTAAAAACTAAACAGTGCCTGCCTATACATTTTATCACTATTTTGTATAACACTTTATTGTCTACCTTTATGAAGACTCAAAGGAAAGTATTTTTCCTTTCTAGTTTTTTTTCAGCTTAGTTAACAGCAAAGAAAAATTTAAAGTGGCATTTTCATGAGGTCCTTTTCTAAGAGAGTTGATAAATGGTAAATGGCCTGGCTATTACGATGAAATCTGTAGTTGGAAAAGTACTCTATCCTAAAAACACTGAATTAAAAATCAATTGACATGATATCAGATAATATTATAATTCTGAGAGTGTTTGGGAACCACAACTCCATCTCGATCCTATGGAAGGATTAAGGCTAATGCCCACAGTTAAGTTCCTAAAGAGATCAAAGGATATTTCTATCACTTGGTTAATAAATATGCTTCTTAACACTGTCCTAAAAGTAATAAATAATTGCCTGATTTCATACTCTAACAGCTGAAGAGTAGTGAACAAAGAAAATTAGTTTAGAACATTATTTTATAGTTAAATTCCAGTGATGCATGCTATTGCAATATATTCTACATTTAAGACAGTGTGTGCGTATATATGTGTGTGTGTATCAGCCATAGGTGACATAATTTCCATTCTATAAAATAAAATAAAATAAAATAAGCTACACTGTTTTTAGGTCTAAGAAATAAAATTGAGCTCATAACTAAGACATATGTGACAGTAGGGATGAGAAGACATACAGAAAAAAGAACATGTATATGTAGGGTAGAGTTAAATGTTTTACCATTTTTTATTATCAAAGGGTAAATATTATATTTTAAATCATACAGTAGGTAGGATGTGAAGATGATGTTTAGACCATTTCTAAAACCCAATTTCTAATTTATTAAAAACAACACAAGAAAAGCAAGGATTCAAGAACCATTACACATATATCACAACTGCATTTCTCTGTTTTCTTACCCTGTATGTTGTACAGTCGGACACTATGGGTAACATGTTCAAAAAAGCAAGTTACATCCGAATAAAACCTTCCACGTTGTACTCTGACAAGGGGTTGGGTTGTGTAAACATAAGGCTGAAGAGAAAATGACATTTTTAGAAAAATAGTTTGGCTTTTAACTTTTCCAAAAAATGTTGATTATAGTTTCCAAAATGGCAAATTCATATCACCTGATATTTGCAACTTTAAGTGAAAATCTTACAAAGTGTAATATGCATTTGCTATAAAATTAATTTGCATTATACAATAATTACTGAAAATAGAAAATAAAAATGTTACAACTTGATTGGTCTAAATTTACAAACATTCCTCCCAGCTATAAAATTTCTGATTAAAGTCCTTCTCTCTTGTCCATGTGTTACTTATTAAAGAAAGTGCTCGTTTTGCAGCAGTGACATTTTTCCAGGCAAACGTTTATTATAACCATGGCCCCCTAATGTTCCAGGGTCAGGCAGGTGGCAAGGATGACCACAGGGAGTCATCTAAAGAAACAGGAAGCAGGATTCAGAAACACAGTTTAATCACAGTTAGGTTTACTACCCTATAAATACACTGCCCTTTTACTTGAAAGAGCTAGATGAATATAAAGCAAACTTATAAACTTGAAAAAGCCCCACTGATTTAGTTTTCATTACTTAGAATCTACATTCAAGAAAATATGGGACTAATACATAGAACTTATGTGAACAAATTTAAAGCATTCATAAAGAGTTATATTTTCTTAAGTATTACACACCCTAAGCTCAACAACAGTATAAGAAGCTAGGCTTGCAATGTGAACTACTTAAATAGCATAAGATTTTCAGAACTATGTAATTTTCTTCCAAATTTACCTCTTTGGCTAGAGAAAAATGTTCTGAAATTAATATGATGTTTACCTAATGAACACATAGCTAGAAAGTAATGGAGGGGGCTGAAACCTGGGACAGTGATTTCTGGGCCCCTGCTTTTTTTTCTGATATATCCAACTGCCTCTTTCCCTGATGTGCTTTAATTTTATCTTCTAACCATATGATAGTTCTCTTTATTTTTCTATCCAACATTAGAGTTATTTAAAAATAAAATTTTAAATAAATTAGTTGCTATGATCCATGTACAATATTTCATAGCACAAATATATGAATATACAGTGACTACACTTTGAATAATTATTAATTCAGTGGGTTAAATCTGAAAAGAAAGAAGCATCAACTGAGCTATCAAAAAATGTATGTGTATACATATTTATATATTTATTTTTTAAGTACAAGACAATCAAAGCAAAATGCCTATTCAATGACAAAAGCTGATGAGAAAACATGGGCCCACTGCACATCCTGAAATGCCTACTATAAGCTGTACTTTACCTTTAATTCCTCACTAATTTAAAAAACTAAAAACAAACAAAAAAATAGAATCCTTAGCATGACCCACACAATCCTTTAAAATCTATATTTGATTTCAGTTAGCAGACTTTTCTAAATTATAGAACAAAAGTAACTTTTTCAGGAGATAAGTTCCTAGGCAACAAAATATGAAGAATATTTAACTTATTTTGAAGTGTAGAAAGCAAGTGTAAGTATAAAAGCAAAGGAAGGAAATCTAAAAAAAAGAATATGGAACTGACTACACAAAAATTAAAAAGTACCTTAATAGAAAAATAAAATAAAAATTAACCATTTAAATAACACATTGAGAAAATTGTGCAATATATATGAAAAAGGATTAATTTTATCATATATGAAGATCTGTAAGTTATACCAATAGAAAAATGACCAAAGAATTTAAGTAAAAACTTACAAAAGAAATATGAAAGGTAAATAAATGTATAAAAAAGTTTAACCTCACTAATAATCATAAAAATGTTAACATTAAAATATTTTTCAGCTATTAATATAGGTAAAGCTTTTAAAATGGCTAATTCTCAGTTCATGAAATGGTATAGAATTCAAAGCTATTCTCAAAAAACACTGATGGGAGTGAGCATGCACTCTT